GTTATTGTGGATTATGGACTCGTATTTTGGCCAGAAGCAAAGGTTTGAAGTTAAAAACATCTTAATGTTGGATTTGTTTCTTATAAACAAACACGAAGCTTTTCGCTGCACAAGATGTTAAGTGATGGACTGGAGTGGTGTGGATTACTTGTGGATTATTGTGATGTTTTTATCAGCTGTTTGGACTCTCATTCTGACGGCACCCATTCACTGCAGATGATCCACTGGTGAACAAGTGATGTAATGCTAAATTTCTCCAAATATGTTCCATATGTTCCCACGAAGAAACATCAACTATATGAATGGCTGGAGGGTAAGTACATTTTCAACAAATGTTCACTTTTCAATGAACTTTTCCTTTAAGTATGTAAATACTTTATTACCTCTGCATATAATGAATCAACAGACAATTAGGGAAAAATAACCCCACCACAAACGACATGCAACGGTTAATTCTATTGAGTCCAGTAACTAATTTTAGACATCTATCAAGAAGGGTCAAAGCCTCGACCCAGCCTCATTCATGAACACACTGCATGCATGCTCTCAGTAGATCTGGTGCACTGCAGGGCAATGCGCTTCAGTGTGATTGTGTTTTATGAGCCTGGCGTTCTGCTGTAATGATGAGCTCTTTTTCTGCCTCACTGGATTTACAGCCTCCCTGTCCTCCTTCTCTCTCCTCCCCACACGTCCTGAAGCTGTAGCCCCTCTGAGACCCAACACACTGCTGCCTGATTAGATTAAGCACTGCTCCCACAATCGCTATGGAGATCAATAAAGACTGAGTTACGTAATGCTGGAGGAAATGCTGTAGCAGTGGGGGAAGGGCAAAGGATCGAGGAGAAGAGAAGAAGAGCAGATCTATGGGTGCAAACCCGCAAGGCATTGTTGAGTTACGACTCTTGTTTCAAAACCTAAATCGCTGTTTGAAACTGTAGCTTGCCAAGCTACAAACTACTCATCGTTTAAAAGTAGTTAAACTATAGTCAAGCTCTTTTGAAAAACTAGTTGGGTACATTTCATGCTACTGACAAAAATAAACTGTAATTTACTATACTAATGTACTATACTGAAGCTTAGGCAGACTCGGAGGCCATGGCGGAGCAGTGAACTCAGGCGGCCATGGCGGATCAGGGGACTCGGGGAGCCATGGCCGATCTGGCAGCCCAGGAGCCTCCTCCTTTGGTTACGGGTGAACTGGGCAGCCGGCGGGCTTGTCGTTGTGGTAACTGGCGGGCTTGACTTCGTAGCGGCAGGTGGGATTGAGTGAGCCGCGGCCGGCGGGCTTGACTTCGTAGGGGCCGGTGGGCCTGACATCGGAACGGCTGGCGGGCTGGAGAGAGCAGCGGCCGGCGGACTTGACTGGGGAGCAGCCGGCC